CAGTCCCTCTCTCTCAGCCCTACTCACCTCACAGGGTGGTTGTTGTGGGGAAAATAGGAGGAGGAAGGAGCATTAGTATGTTCACTGTCTTGAGTTATTTAGAAAAATAATAAAAGTGGGATTTTAAAAAAACCTTTAAAAAATTATAGAAGGAAATTTTGGTATAACACAAGTTAAAGCACCACACAAGTTTTGTGAATGACTTTTTCTAACAGTGGCTTGAGACGACGGAGGGGAGTGACTGCAACCAAGAAAACGGAGCAAGGAGAAAGGTTCCATTGCTTTTCTAATATCATTGATCTGGACATGTCATATCTGGCAGGAATACATTTTTGTGGCTGTTAAAGGAAAGCAGTGTAAAAAAATAATCCAATCTGAAATGTTTATTTCCACCAGTTATCAGTTTGCCTTGAACTCTTTCAAGTCTGCATCTTGTGAAAAAGAAGCATATTGAAGTTGTGGTCAAGTCTGCACTTTCTAGGAAAACATATTTTAATTTTAGAACGGAAGACCTTGCATAAAGAGCTTCCCAGTTTACAGAAAAAACAATTTTAGGGAGTCAGCGATTGCCTCCAAGTGTGCCATCTGCTGGCATAAAAATGAAGAGCTTTGTAACAAAGATTTCAAAATACTGTATATTATAGCATAATGCTCCAACCTTGGTGTCCTCTAGCTGTGTTGGACTACCGCTCCTGGTGTCTGTTGGCTATGCTGGTTGGGGATGATGGGAACAATACTGTAACCCACCTAAAGGGCACAAAACTGGCAGAAATGTTTGACTGGGTTTGCATATCATGCTAAACTATGGTTTATTTAACCATGATTTATTAAATGGAAAATTAGATGGCTTTACCATTTTGATAAGCCATAAATCATGGTTTATAAGAAACAGTTGCTGGATTCACACAACACACCAAGGAAAATCCCAACAAACCATTATACATCTTAATGATGTATGAACTCAGTGTTATCTTGAATTAGGAATTAACAGAAAGCAAAATCTGTACTGAGGGAATAGTTTTATTTATTTATCTATTCAACTGACATCCTGTCTTTGCATTCATAGAACGCTTGAGATATTTAACAGATATCTAACAAATTTATTCAACAGCTGCTAATTATGGTGAGGGGCAGGACTGTAAACAGTGCAGAACTACAGACATTAATGATTGACTTTTGAAGAATACCCATTCATAAAAAAAAATATTGTGTCATAACATAGACATTCTTGCACAGATAAGCTAATTCACATATGTAGGCCGGCTTCAACCATACATTAAATCATAAATGATTTGTCTGGTAATAGTTTAACATTTTGTATGAACTCAGCTACTTGTGATTTTATTTAAGAATTGTGGCTAAACTCAGAACCTGGTATGAATCAGATTATTGGCCTTGGCCCTTAAGTCACGAGAATTAGAAGTGGACTTCTGAATAAAATATAGTTCATCTCTGAAAATATTTCTAGTTACTGGTGTATTAATTCCCATGTCTTTCAACCTCCCCAGGCTATTTTTAAGGCTGACAATAACAGCTGTATTTTGAATAATAAACTTCCTTTACCATTGAGCACTCAGTCAGACATAACAGTCACAACCCTAGAAGGGTCACAATGCTTTGCCATAACTCTCTAGAGAAGCACAACAAAAACCTTAGTTATACCATGGAATTTGAATACACCCCTGTGTTGGTAAAAGTTTTAAAAACAGTAACAAAAATAAATAAATGAAAGGGTGAATAGTCTTAGCTTCTGAAATCAGATCTGAAGGCTATGGAAATGTTAGTGAAATATCCATAGAGAGAATATATGATAACAGCCTGTCAGGATTATTCTAAATATGCCTACCAGGAACTAAGTCCTGGTGATCTAGATAAATATATTGTAATATGCAAATGTGTAATGCAACCTAAGGAGCCCCAGCATCGCTTATTCCCATGGCAGGATATGCCCTCAGCTCCTACAGAAGATGAGACCATTGTTAAACCAGGAACAGGTAGACTGCAGACTATAGGTCCACATTTTTCTTTTCTTTTCCTAGAAACCAAAGGATCACTGACTACGTGCCAGAGCAGAAGCATCATTTGGTGATGGGGAGAAGACTCAGTAAGCAAGAACTTATAATATAGGCCCCTCCCCAAGCAAATGCAAGGATTCCATATTCATGGATACAATCTCAGTTATTTCTCTTTCAATTCTGAAGTTATGGTCCACTCTGAGGTTTAGTCAGACATGCTTCATTGCTCACCTCTCCTCTTTTCTGGGGGAGGGGAGGGGTTAATGTAATATATATTCTGCCATAAGAGAGAACACTTGCTTGGCCATTGGCTAGCCCTTACATTGTTATGAATCCTGCTTTCTTCTGAGTAAGCATACCTAGATTGTCCAACCAAAGAACCAATCACTGATAGCCTGGAAAAGGGGTGGACCAAGATATGATTTGCTTCTGCAGCTGACTGTGGATATCTGTCCCAACATGATTGCTATAAAGCCTTTATTACATGGGACTGAGAAGCAGCGCCCATTTAGTTTGCAAAATGTTTGTATAGCAGCACAAAGATTTGAAAATCCACACTAAAGACCAAAGTCAACTCTTGGATCAATATGTCATCCAATAGAAGGCAGGTATACAAGACAACCTATAGCTTCTGGGAGGGCTGCCAAATCCTACAAGGAGGAAGCTGCTTGCATTAGTCTTAGCATAAAAATGGCTTGCAGACAACCAACCCAGAAACACAGCCCATTTCGCTCACCATATTGACGCCTGGAGTCCCCAACATGGTGCCTGCAGAGACCTTCCTTGACACCATGGTCCTGATAATTTTTAAAATCAGATTATATTTGGTTGTTTTTTAAAGAAAGGGAAGTTGAGTCTACTGCAAAGTAAAATGCTGTCTTCCAGCTTTCTCCTTGTTTCCAAGAACCCCACAAAGATCGTCCCAGGAACAAAAATTATAAGGGGTTAAGACACACAGCTATACAATAATCCATCATTTGAAAAGGACTGGAGAATACCAAGCAACAAAGTTGTGAACCAACTCAAAATGCAGCTCTTAGAATGGGAGGGGTAAGTATAGATTCCTATGACAAAGTGAAGTTCAGTTCCTGGTGATTATATGGACACATGGTGGCAACAATATGGAAGTGGTTTGTCATTGTCACTCATTCGGGATGAGTGTGGATTTTTGTTTACTTTTTCTACTTGCCGGTTTAGGCTACAATCATGGAATTCCCTAGTGGTCTCTCATCTAAGCACAATGTTCAGTCATGCTTGGGGGGCAAGCTAAAAGCCCCTAATTCAAATAGGGAAACTAAAAATCAGCCATAAAACACTTGTAAGGCCCAGGAATGCTGATAAGACTTTTTAAAAATTAAAAATGTCCCAACTCTCATGAGATTTCCAAATCTCATTTGCATATTACATGCAAGATGCTTTCATCTAAATATATTTATCTAGATCACCAGGACTTAGTTCCTGGTAGGCATATTTAGAATAATCCTGACAGGTTATCATATATTCTCTCTATGGATATTTCACTAACATTTCCATAGCTTTCAGATCTGATTTCAGAAGCTAAGACTATTTCCAAATCTCATGTGATCTCAGTTATTTTGTGTGAGATCATGCTAACAGAGGGATGAGAAGGACTTGGGGTGACCTGTGCTATTCTGCAAATATGATGCTGTGCATTGCTGCAGGTATGGAAAACACTGAATGGGGTCACCTATCATGCTAAATCATCATTTAGCTGTAGTTTACTGAATAAGCCACCATTGGCTGGGTTCACACAATATACTTAGCCAAAACCAAACAAACTACATTGTAGCTTAGCATTCACCATACACTTGTTTGGACCTTGGTCCATTTAGTTTCGTATTGCCAATGCTGACATGAAAACATGAGACTAGCTCTGCTGGATCAGGCCTAGGCCCATTTGGTAGCATTCCAACTCACATGGTGGCCCACTAGAGGCATCTAGGAAGCCCACAGATTAAGGCAGCCTCCTATCCCAATGTTGTTCCTATGGATCTGGTAGGCAGAGGTGTCCTGCCTCCATTGCACCCACTGAGCTATTAACAGCCATAGATAGCCCTGTCCTCTGGAAATTTGCCTAGTCCCTTTTAGAAGCCAACCATTCGCCCCATTCCTTGTGAATGTCCATAGGGAGAAGGAACTCTTCTTGTAAGTAGAAAACTAGCAAAGTAAATCAGGAGTAGGATGATCGCTTTTTTCACTGATTTGTCAGTGTTCTACCCGAAGGGACTTTTATATGAAACTATATTCACAGGTAGCATTTTTGTCCTGTAGTCTGAAGGGGTATGGGCGATTCAGCCACCTTTTTCTGCTGCCTCCATAAGACCAGGTCTTACTTCCTTGCAAATGTATTTAGAATCAGGTTTGGAGATTACATAAGACTTTTCTCCATAAAAGAGTCCAATTATGTCATACAAGATGTAAAGGGGCACGTGCTATCCAGTAATGGAAGTTCTCTAGCGATGTCTTCAAACAAATAGCATGAATTGCTTTTCTATTTTTCTGATCTTTCTCTGTTCACAAGTTTTCATTCAGCCACTTGATATAGTGGTCTCTGGTGTGAAATCCTGAAGAAAAGTTAATTGGCCAAACGGTGAAGAGCATGCAGCCATGAAAACAGTCTTCAAAGTGGTCGATGGTGACTTCCACACCTGCTTTCTCTAACCGCTTGGCATACATGAGACCATCATCTCTCAAAACATCGATCTCACAGGTCATAATATAAGTCTTGGGCAGCAGGCGCAAAACCGCTTTGTCAGCCAGAAGCGGGCCTGCACGGACATCTAATAGGGCAGGAATATTCTGGATGATTTCGGCTTTCCCCGTTGTATGAGTTATGGGTTGGTAATTCTTTCTGAATCTTGAAGGTAGAAGGAAAGTCCAGTCCAGTCGGTCTCTGACGGAACTGGCCTTGCTCACGTCCAGAGATGTGTGGTTGTTCATCAGCATGGGCTGGACAAAATCATAGTTTCCATTGAAATACTCTACCCAGTACTCCACCATCAGAAAGCGTGTCAGGATTGGGCTGAGTTTGTTCTGTTGGTATGAAGGAGTATTAAAATCAAAAGACTGAAGGACTGGATAGATTAGGGCCTGCAGTTTAAATCTGTTGGTCATGTTATCCTCTTGACTTATCTGTAGAAAGAAGACAGAAAGCAGGGAGTGGTGCAGTCAAACAATCCATGCCTGTAGCTCCCAAGCACACCGAGCAATAGTTTGTTTTATCAAGTGTGTTGAAAAAGCCAGAAACCCATCCTGCCACATTATATATGGATAAATGGATTCAGCCCGTGTGTACAGCAAAGAGAAACTAGGAGATGTTTCATATTCTCTATCCACTCACTTCCAAAAGGGGTTGAGGTCTTTTACAGTAAATTCCACTCCAAGAGTGACTGTGATGAGACAGATCACAAATTGGCCAATCTTATTTGTGAGATATGGAAAACAATGAAACTTTGCTATATGGATTTGATGATTAGAAATAATATGGATTAATAGAAATAAGGGAAGTTGTGTTTTAGAGTAAATGTTGGATGTATATTGTTACTTATATCTGTTGTGAGGAGGGTTGGAAGTCAATTCTTTTTTTTCTTTCTGATTCCTTTCTTCTCTCTTTTGTCTTTCACACTTTTTAATCTTTCATACTTATTTCTGTAATTCTCATTCCTTTTCTATACTATACTCTAGTTTTTGTTAGTTTTTTTATTGTTCTTTTTAAATTTTTTAAAAATAAAGTTATTATTTTAAAAAAAGTCCTATATTACTCATCTCAATTACTCTCATAATGGACCTGCTAAGACAGCCTGATTCTACAATCCATAAGGATAATTATTATGCCTGATTAGGTACTCAGTGCCTGGGAACAGGCCCAACATTATGCAAGGAGCAGCAATGGCATATGAAGAAGTCCACTGAATAACAATGGGGCAGAGTGAGTGGAATTCAAAAGATTGCCACTTAGATTGGTCATATCAGTTAAAGGCACATCGGAAATGAAATAACTTTCTCATCCATTTAGCAATGTTAAACTTTGAACGCTTCAAATCAAAATCAAAATAATTTCTACACTTATTATTGAATTTGTAAGTAGCTTGCAGTCTGCGATTAAAATACCATCTCTAGCCTAAACCCAATTCTGTAGGCCTTTCCCACATCGTCCTGTGTTGCAACAAAGAACTCCAGACTTGGAGCAAATATTTTCTGTTTATTGAATAAACCTCACTTTATTAGGTGGGTTTACACAATGCACCAAGCCCAAAACAAAAAGATCACATTACAGACTAGTGGGATGCACAGACCAGGAGTTAAGCTTTCTGATTGGATGGGGGTTATGGCAACAATCAACTGGAAGATTTTTGCAATCTAAATGTGTTGCACAGCTTACATCAGGGTGGCAAATGGTCATAACTAGCTGGAAAAGAGGAGAATTGTAGTCCGATACTTCTGGAGAGTTAATGTTTTGGGTAGGGTATAGTAGCAATACAGAAAGGAAGAACCCAGAGGAAGTTCATTTGTCTGTTGTAGATGGAAAGTTCAGAGCAATAAAAGGGGCATGCATATACTCATGTTGGCATTTGCCATATTTAAGGTTGTTCTTATGAAGCAAAAATGGCTTGGGTCATGATTACACAAGGCATTTTTTTTATTCCAGTGTGTGAAGTCAAGCAGTGAGAGAACTCTTGCACTCTATTGCTTCCTTGGAACAAGATGTCTGGATCTTACAGAGCAAATTACAGATAGTCCCCTACTTATGAACGGGTTATGTTCCAAGAGGCTGTTCATAAGTCCGTTTTGTTTGTAAGTCCAACAAGAAAAAAAAAAAAAAGGAGGAGGAGGAGGAGGCAGGGCAGTGGTGTGGGCAGAGGAGCCCTATCTTCTGCTGCCAATGCGTCACCAGGTGAGGCAGGAGAGGGGGTGGTAGCGGAGGAGAGGGGAGTGAAGGATGAGCCGGTGGGGCATGGGGCGCTCTGTTGCCAAGTGAGGTAGGAGACCTCTGCCCCCTCTCCCCTGTTCTCTGCCACTGCCCCCCTCTCCTGCCTCACCCGGCAATGGAGCATGCCGCGTAAACTAACCCTTTCTGGGAACTCCAACTCCAATGCAAACCTCAAATGCAAATGGAATGAGGGAGAAGGCAGGAAAGGGTTAGTCTGCAGCATGCCACAAATTAACTCTTTCTCACCTTCTCCAGCATGACTAGAACTCACAGTTTCCTGCTTTCTAGCCTGGTGCCTTAACCACTACACCAAACTGGCTCTCTAATCTATCTATCTATCTATCTATCTATCTATCTATCTATCTATCTATCTATCTAT